AAGGGCACAGATAATACGGTAAGGCTATCATAGTGTTGAACGACCCTGTCGAAAGGCAGTGACTGATCTCACTTGTCAAGTTTGTTTGGTGACAACCTGGTGCAACACATGGGTGCTTGTTGTAGGTGGATATACCGCAGCAAGTTCACTGGACTGATCCACCAGATGATTCCATATGGATGGTAACCCCAGTGTATATGGAACAAATCCTCTAACGAATGGTGGTGCATATGATCCTTAGACTTGAGATCACCGGAGCGCCTTGTGCACCGATTGGTGCAATTCGACACTAGCCTAACGCAGTTCTTTTCAAAGCTGTCAATACAGTGGTGATTGGCCGCATCGAGGAGTGTATCAAGACTATGGTAGATAGATAGAGGATTCATCATTCCTGGGTATGGGAAACGTTATCTCACGGCGCAATTCAGTATATGGCAATGACACTAAAACTGTGGCCACAGTGAGATTGAGTTGTTGCTCTATCCAGATTATAATACAGGTCATTGGTCTGGAAAATATCGAGCGTAACCGAAGGTTGACACTATTTCTATACCTTTGTCTCGTCGAGATAACGAATGATGAAAGGATCGAATTGTACGGTAACCATATCGTTGACAGGTAGATACTTTGTTGAATCTGAATCTATCGGGTGGCCATGATGCCTTGCTAGGAGCCAATCTTGGTCTGTGTACAATGAGATGATTAATTGGTGTTAATCGCGATACTATACACTGCCGGGATGATGAGGAGCCTATGGGTCACACACATAGAAAATAATTTAAGAGCTAAGAAGAAAGAAGGGCATTTTCGTCTTTTTGTATGAAAGGGTATTTTGGTAATTTCACAGTGCAATTAAATTTGTTGGGGTCGTAGCCTTTATTTAATTTGTTAAAAAAAATTAAATAAGTGAAATTACGTTTAAATGTGTGTTCACACATATTTAATTAAATCATCATTATTGTTAAATGTTAATTAAATATTAATTGATTTTAATTGAGATAATGATGAATTAAATTAAAATATCTAATTGAGAGTGTTTGGCAACATGGGGTGTTTGGGTTGGAGCCCAAGCTCATTCCATGTGAGAATAGGGCAATTAAGTTTGCCTATAAAAGGAATAGTGTTTGTTTGTTTTGATGATTATTTTATTTTTGCCTTTTGATTAAAGAAAAGAAAACACAACACAACTCATACTCTCTCCCACGCCAACTTTGGTTTGTGCCAAAATCATTGTTTTTCTTCTTGATTTCTTAAGGCCAAGGAAGATCTAGCAAATCCCTCTTTGGTTCCTTGTGATTGTCTTCGTGTGGACTTCCACGGTTCGATCATACACTTGGATCGGTAGCAAACACGTTCAGAGACAATATTGGTGGAGCCTCCAACATGGGTATGAATCTAAACTTTAGATTTACTTTTCTGCAGATTCTTGATGTAAAACATAAACTGTAATTTTTGTGCCCTGATTTTGGGCTTTAAGGAACGATCCATGGTTGTAAAAATTTTTGTTTTCCGTTGTGCAACCGGGTCGTTTCCTAACAACATGCACCACCATCCGTTAGAGGATGTGTTCCATAGACACTAGGGTAACCATCTATATGAAATCCTCTCTATGGGTCAGTCTAGTGAACTCGTGAATAACAAACACCTATGTGTCACACCAAGTTGTCACCAAACAACTTTGACATGCAAGATTTGTCACTACCTTTCGATATGGTCGTTCAACACAATGATAGTCTTACCGTATTATTTGTGCCCTAGGTTAGAATAATACTGGGGTTGTGGACGTGTCTATAATGGTTACCATATATGCTCATAGGGATCTCACAATCAAGACTTATAATCGCTTAATTCTCTCGTTATGGTTCCACCACTCTAAGGACCTATATTATCACATATAGAATAAGATTTACATAATATAAATAATGTCTTTTTATTAATAGAATAACACAATACATAGAGTTAATTTACAATATACGATTGGTTTTAGAGCACTTACTCTAACACCTATCTCACTTGGTTCTTCTCAGAGTCAACCGAGTACTTCTGGTTGATGCGTGTCTTCGTCCCAGTGCTCTAGCCAATGCGAAAATTCGCATCAACAATAAGATAAAAGTTTATGTCAAAAACTGGACTAGATTTCGGTGGTTGAAAGCTTGGACCAGTACGATAGCATAGTGACATGGGCTAGACAATAGCGTCATCGACTCTAGATTGGCCGTGGTGGCTATAACATTCTCTATTTTTTTTTTTTTTTTTTTGGCGCTTACATTAGGGTGAGATTGCGTGTGTGGTGGACATTAAATACTTAACGATAAACAACCTGTCACCTGGAAACAGAAAAATGTTTTAAATGTATTAGTTCGGGTTGGTTTTCGGGTTTTTCTTTAAACCCGAAAACCACCCGATCAAATTCGGTTTCTGCATATAATCAGTTCATACCTTAAATACCTCTTCGGGTTATTCAGTGGGTTTTCATGTGCTCACCGTTACCTACCGTTCTTGTTCATCATAGCAAACTTCGAACTTCGTTATCTACGTAAATGAAAAATAATCTCCTCAACTTTGATNTTACTTACCTTATACTCAAGTAGAATCCACTTAAGCTCTCTACTCTTAATGGCTTGATGTTTTCTCTTAAACCTTTAAGTGCTTAGGATCAACTTGAATCAACTTCTAGTCAAAAGCCCTCCAAAAATCCTTGGAAAATGGAATGAAAACTTGAGAGAAATGAAGGATGGAAGAGGCGGTGGAGAAGAATGAAAGAAAGGGTTTCTAAAGCTAAACCCTTAATATCTCATATTTTCTCCACTCTTTCCCATTTTACCCTTACTCTTTCTTAGGAATCCCACCTTTGCCCTTTAATTCTTTGCAAATGCACCCCCCATTTAAACTGTTCTCCAGAAAATTTTCTTACAATTCACTTCCCACTTTTCCTGCTAATTAGGGGTAGAATGGTCATTTTGCCCCCATGAAAAAATATCTAAAAACTTCATTAACCTTTTCAACTGGATCGTCGTCGCAGCAAAGAACTTTCCGTCGCCCCGGTGAAGAATTACAGAACCGACACCGCAATTACAAAGTCAGCGTTGCCGCGGCGAAGAATGAAATTCAAACATTCACCAATTCTCAACCAAAATCAAGGCAAACACTGAACCAAACCAACTCATCAATCCCACTAAGGGTCAACCAACTTAAAATAACAACATGCAAGCTCAAATGAGAACAAATCAATAAACATTCAAGCAATACAACACAATTTAACTATGTACCTCAAGTGGGGTGTTACAGGTTGGTTTTCGGGTTTTTCTTTAAACCCGAAAACCACCCGATCAAATTCGGTTTCTGCATATAAATAACCGATTGGGTGTTTTAAAGCAGCATAATCAGTTCATACCTTAAATACCTCTTCGGGTTATTCAGTGGGTTTTCATGTGCTCACCCTTACCTAGGGCTGTAAACGAGCCGAGTCGAGTCGAGTCGAGCCGAGCTTTGGGCTTATCGAGCCCGACTCGTTTACAACAGTGTCGAACTCAAGTTCGAGCTCTAGCCTGTCGAGCCTCAGAATTGAGACTCGAACTCGAGCTCGAGCTCGATAAGGCTCAGTCAGGTTTATGAGAAATTATTCTAGTAAATTTTGTTTAAAACTGCAGCTGGTTTATTTAGGTTAACTTTAAAGAAATTATGGTAACTCAGTCCGTGGATTAGCATAGCCCACTTGCCAAACGGAGCGTCATGAAGCAACAGAGATACAAAGTGTTTACTCTTACTCAAAGTCTCAAACAGCTGCCATCACTATCTGACTTTTCCTTTCTTTCTTTATTAATCAATCAATCAATTAATTTATTATTTACATTCAAACAAAACAAGAAACAAGAGGAAGCAACAAAGAAAAGGAAGATGAGATTGAGAAAGAGAAAGAGAAAGTCGCAGCTGCTGCTCCTCATCTGGCAAAAATGGCAAAACAAAACCCAAATCAAACAATCTACTCATCACCCAACTCCAACTCCAACAATTAGACGATCCACTCACAAACAAACAACTAACTATCACACATAGGCACAGCAAACTAACTTGGAAGTTTCAGAGTGTCTGCACTGCGATTTTGGGCCTCCTTTTCCGGTTGCCGAGATTAGAGATGGCAACGGAGATTACCGATTTTAGAGTGTTTGGTTCGCGATTTGGGATTTGGAGGTCTTTGATTGCGATTTGGGATTTAGGGCAACTGGGATGGGGAACTGAAATTGATGCTCTGTTTTGGTGTTTCGTGTTATTTCAAATTTGCACTTTGGGGGGGAAACTGTCATTTTTTAAAACTTTTTTCACTGGAAAATATCAGTTTAATACTGATAGTTTAAAAAATCACCAAAACACCTTGCGTAAGTGTACAGTGCTTAATCGAGCCGGACTAGGCTCGCGAGCCCACGAGCCGAGCTTCACTGTGTTCGAACTCGACTCGGCTAACAAACCGAGTTCGAGTCGAGTCGAACCGAGCCTTATCGAGCCGAGCTCTAAACGAGCTTTTATCGCGCTAAGCCGAGCAGGCTCGCAAGCCGACTCGGCTCGTTTACAGTCCAACCCTTACCTACCATTCTTGTTCATCATAGCAAACTTTGAACTTCGTTATCTACGTAAATGAAAAATAATCTCCTCAACTTTGATGTGTAGAAATTTGGAATATGAGAGCGAAACTAATAGACTTTAATGTGTGAAGAGAAGTGCCTTTGACTTGTAAAGAGAATGTGTGTAATACTTGCTTATATATGAATGGACATTTCTGTTTTGAATTTCTTTATTTTTTTAGAGTTTGATGTTAGTTTTCAATCGAGTCCTGAAAAAGGGCTAATCAATATAATTTCCTTGTTAATAATAGTTGCGACACAAAGAAGATTAAAGTTAGATAGTCATTTTGTTCTTATTACATAGACCAATACAATACACTTTGCAATAAATGAGAAGCAGGGAGACAGGAATTAGCTTTTATCATTTTGTTTACAGTATCATATTGGCCAATTCGGTAATCTTGATTATTACTCGATGTGTTTTATTGACAGCTCGATCTCCATAAAGTAACAGCCACATTAGCCAACTTGATGGCTTCAAAGCCATGATACATACGCTACCTTGTTCGAGAAAAAAAAAAAAAAACGCAATCACAATTACAAAGCCAAAATAGCATTAGCTTTCTGTTACTGTTTACAGAGACGCAATTGGCTATGACTAGGAGACTCATCAACTGCCTCGCTTTATCAATTCATTGAACTCTTCATCGGTGCTCTTAAGCATGGCTGGCAAAGACAATTTCACCCCACTTTTCACACTCTCAATGTGTCTAGGCTTGATTCTCTTTTCCAAACTAAAAGCAAAATACTGAGGAAAATGTTTCAACTCTTCCAAATCCCCCTTTATCACCTCAACAAAGTACTCATATTTGGGCTTATAATTATTTTCAAGACTGAAAGTAAACAGCGCCGGACACCTCAAAACCATAACCAACGCCTCATCCCTCGACAACCCAATACCCTCTAAATACTTAAGCTTGGGAATCAAGGTGTTCTCTACACTGGAAACTAACAAAATCGAGTCTTGATAAGCCAAAGTTTCCAAGTCCTTGAACCCAAGTCTTTGAAGAAAAAACAAAGCCGGTTTGAGTTGGTCTCTCACGCTGGAAACAAGCAATCTTGGGCACTTGTTGATGACCCTCCTGAAGTTGTGTTCTGGGACTTTCAAGTCTTGTGAGAGGAAGTTAAAAACGGGGTCAATGTCAGTTTTGATGTTCGCGGTGAGGAGTTTTGGGCACATGCCGAAGATTCTGGGCAAGTCCTTGTGGCGGATGCCTTTGGATCGGAGGAATGAGATAATGGAATGAATGTAATGAAGAGGGGCTGAGTGGAGAGAAGGGTTAAGAGACAAAACCTTGCCTGATTCAATTCCCATGATTTCAAGAAAGATGATTTTTTCTTGGATTTGGAGGGAGAGATTCGCATGGGCTGATAGGTAGAGTGGATGATTTTGGAGAAGACTTTTGGGTTTGGTAGCCAAGTGGAAACTCAGTTGCTGCTGGGAATTTGAGGGAGAAGATGATTGTGATTGTGATTGTGAAGAAGAGATACAAAGAGATGAGTGTAAAGCTGTTGCTGACATGGTGTTTCTGTTTAGAGAGAGAGAGAGAGAGATAGATAGGGTTCTTCTTTCCTTTAAAATCTAATCCCATTGGTTTTATATGTGGCTTTACGCAAAATTGATTGGTTCAGATTCAGATTTTGTAGATTATTTGGTGATGGATTTGAGTGGATAATGGAGATCCGCTGTTTCCAACAACATGATTTCCTTTTATTTTTTAATTACCGGGATGAACCTGGTGTTCCCCTTTTCATTGAGTTTACTTTGTTATCCACCTATTTGATCTTTCTTATATTTTTTGGGTTAATTGCATTGAAAATTTGAAACCTCCTTTTAAGTTATCAAATTTTATTAGACAATATTATTTTGATTTACGAGATCAGTTAATATTATTATACTTGTTCGTTTAATTTAGTTTTTCATAATTTTGCAAACAATGGTTTGATTATTTTTAAAGGATTTCTAATATTTTTTAAAGACATTTTTGATAATTATAAAAAGATTTGTACTACTTTCTAAACAATGCGAATTTGATATATTTAATTCTAAAGAATCTCACAAAGAAAAATAAAAAATAAATCATTTACTAGACACACAAAAGATTGATTGACACTTAGTGTCCACGCATAGTCAACTTTAAAAACGTTGAAAAGACCTTCTTACCGTAGTATTATTTATATTCTTTTAATAGACATGTTTGACCTTGATAATTATGACAAAAAAATTATTTGACAGAACCACTTTCCATTGCTAATAAGAGCACATAAATAAAGCTTGAACCCAAGGTTTTGAGAATTAATACATGCTTCCTCACTTGGGCCATTTCAGGTATAGATGTATTAAATGGCAACAGACCTAATAAATTCCAAATATTGTAATCTAGTAACAATGTTTAATTTATTTGACGAATGGGATCACCGGAGCATCTTCAGTCATCCACACCTAAGATTAAATTCAAGGCATGTTCATGAAAATATAAACAATGAGGAGCATTTTCTGCATGCAAACTATCAGCCTCCCACGGCTTCTTATGGGCAAAGAAGAATAAGCCTAAATGTCATTTTACAGATTAACTCAAGCTAACAGTCATTCAGATCTAAATGGTAGTGTTGTATTCTTACAATTATTAGTTGTAATTGAATGCCAATGTTTAATCTATCATCCTGGAAAATCAAACAAAAGAAATTTCGGCACTGAATTTATTTAAGTTCTTGATCCTATGTTCCCGGTCACATTTCTCACTAACCATTAAATCTTAAATAACCAAAACAAACTTTTGAAGAAAACATACGAGAGATGGATAAGTTATGTAGGGAGGACAAGCATCTTCTCGAATGGCATAATTATCCTGCCACAAAGAAAGGAAACTTTTGGAAAAGGTAAATGCCAGAAAGTTCCACAGCACCAGCAACTCTTATGGCAACCAGTGAAATTAATTTCCGATATGCTTCCAACATGGAATGCCATTCTGATCCTACACATCACATATGATTGGAGGCGTGTGCCATTACTAATTTTGCATTCATCAAACACATTTACCACAAAAAGCGCAGCTTCTATGATATAATACATAATGAAATTTACAAGTAAACTTGAATTTCAAGGGATTCTTACCACACACCAAATAATCTAAACTATGAAACTTACATGATGAATCTTTAAGAAAAAACTATTCAATTTTTTATTTTTTTTAATAAAAAAAATGTAATGATTGTTTGTGGCAAGTCAATTTAGGTCCATTATGCTTTCATTATAAAGTGCTGCGATTACGTTAACAACGATGCATGCTACAGGAAGATGAGAGCATTCATTATGTGAAATTAGAAAATGCACTTACCAATAACTATCGCAATTTTGCTACCCAGATTTATATTAATGCTGCCCATGGCTTTTGCTCATGGAGTGCCGTCGAAGGAGCTTTCGACCAGGAGTTTGGTGATCATCCTGCATATGGAAATCATGAGAAATACATATTATAATATAAAGATAAAGAAAAATCTGAGTGTACAATCTTTGAATAGAGTAATACAGAAATAGACAACCACATTACAAAGGAACAAAGAGAAAGAAATAACAGTCATGCTGTAATTAGTCTACATGGTTTCCTATTTCTTTTCCAAAATCAAACTTATGTATTCTAGCTCATCAATTTGCCACATCATAAACATGAACGTTGGCCAAAAGAAAAATGAAAACTGTCTGACTATTTCCATATCTTCCTATCCCAATTTTTTTGTCCCCTCTCTAAAAGAAAAGCAGAATGGAACTTTTATGTTCCCATATTAACCGTAAGGCCTTCTATTACCAACATAGCTTTTCAAAGAACTTTATTTTATTTTTCTTTCCAAATAAACTATAAACTTTGCTTTAAGAAGAATTGACACATTCAATTATTAAAAAAGGGGATTTCAAATAATAAAATCAACAAGGCAAATCAATTGCTTCTCCATTAAAGTGAGCTTTTCACAGAAGAATCTCTTCTAGGACAGACGTAAAAATTAATACTAAAGTATACAGTTACTGAAGACCTTATAAGACTTGGGTATCCTATGAGAAATGTAACAAGGGGAACCCAGTTACCAAGATGCCTAATATCAATTGTTTCTCATAGTAGTTTTTCACTGTGAGTAGCATATGTGTATTCCTTTCAAGAGAAAAGAACTGTGTCAAGTGCCATAAACACAAAGTTTCTATCTATTGTGCTTTAGAAATCAGAAGTTCAAAGGAAAAATTTTAACAGACCATTAAATTACAGTCCAGCAATCGCCTGGTCAGGCCAATGTAACAATCAGCAATTCACCTAACTACTTAATGCTTAACTGCAAACCAGATTCAACACGCGGCACCTGGGAATGGAAACTCCAAATTCCAATTAAGTTAACATATCTACCCAATCCTCTGGCCATGAATGAGGACAATGAAAGAATTCCTCAATCAGCATCACACGGAGACAAAAAATTATGTCTTAAATACAAGGCATTGGTGCAATTAAGACAACAAACCTTGTATAAAGAGGCTGCTGACTCAGACTGTACTGTCTGTATAGGAATATGCCCCAGTGATCGCAGAGCATCCAGTGCATCCAAGGTCAGCTGCCAACCACAAAGGGCAACAGCATCAGCATTGTTACTAGATCCATAACAGCCAGCAGCAGCAACATTCCCATTCACCCAGGGGCAAAACTGGTTGTGATGGACAATGGGATCGAACTCTGTAGCTTCTTCATAATTGCTTTCCCCTTTTGGAGGCCCTGAAAACTCTTGTGTTAATAACATGTCAATGGCAGGAGGAAAAAACAGAAAACAACTGCGAAGTTTGAATCAGCAAAAATGAACATAAGCATGAATTTATTTGAACCAATAATAATTTTAGAACTAATGTAAAAACAAGTGGTACATCACTAACAGTCTCTCAAGTAGGGATGAGAATGTACTAGGTTATTAGTTCAGCTCAATTATATGCTGAACATGACATATCGTTAATTATGGATTTAGCAATCAGTAAATCATAAAGAAGATGCCCAGGAAAACAAGAAAAAGTTGTATAATGTTTTATTGAGTTTGTTGTTAAGTAATCGTGACTTGATTTTTTATACCTTTAAAAACACATTTTCTTAAATTTTAGAAATCATTACCTAATGTATTCGCAAATCAAAGAAACTTTTTCTAAAAATAGTATAAAAAAGCATTCTCAAATCTTGAAAGCAAAATTCAATTTTTTTGTTCCCATTTTTTAAATTCTTTTTGAAATAAGAGTTTTGCATAGCAATATTCAATTATTCCTAAGATAGACTTATTAAACAAAATTCACTCAAATTATTAATTTTAAGGAACTGCCTGCTAATATCTCAAGATATAATAGCTGCCTTAACTGTAAATGGCACAACCCTTAACCAAACCCTCTTACTAAAAGAATGCTGAATGCAGGAGAAGTTGGAACCCAATTCAAATGGTTTTTTTTTCAAATTTGCATGTCCATATTAACTGGGAACAGCTTGAAGAGAAAATAACGTTGGCATGAAGGAGAGTTTATTTAACTTAGCAATATAAAGAATAATAGGACAGATTTATATCGTACTTGGAGTGACATGATCAACAACTGTTCCACTAATAGCAGTTGCATTATGATACATGAAAAATCAAATGGTCAATAACAGTACTAACCATCAAAACTAGTCAAATGGTTTAGAAAAATGTGATTTCTACATATCCAAAACCTAAATAAATACATCAAAAAAAATAAACAAACAAATCCTACGGAGAATGTTATACTTTGCTACCATCTTTTGGGTCCTCTATCAACTTAAACTTCTGACACTAATGGCTACTTAACACAGTATCAACACCCCTGGGTGGCTGGTAACCACCATGCTAAGCCTGGGGTAGGATAGGGTTCAAATATGCTTTGGACAGTGACCCACCCCCTATCCTTTAAACGCCAGCTTGACCTAATCTATCTAAATCACCTGATACATTTCTGTTTGGGCTTTGATCCAATGACAAGCTCATCTGACAGCTTGTGTTAGAGCTTAAATATTATAATTGGACTATTACCTACAACTTAAGTTTTTTGACTTAGTGGTCACACGACAATCCTATGTTCTCCTTCCCTAAAGTGGAACGCCTTAACTGCCTAGCCGTATATTTGAGCATCAATACAATATTACCCATATATTAACCATATTAAAAGGTATGCAATATTTACCTATCCCATTTGCATCCACATAATCAGACTCCGGATAAGGACAATTGTTTGTAGATGATGATTTTCCAGTCTTTGTAACCTCATTTTTGGCTGTATTGTATCCAGAATAGATATTAGCATTACAAGAAAGAGAAGGGTGGGCACTATTTTCCTGGGCTAACTTGCCGCTCTGACTTATCTTTTCTCCACTTTCAACTGATTCTGCCTTGACAGAACCATCAACTTTTGAGCCACTATCAGCTCGTCCAACAGAACGAGACAGCATCTCCTGGCTGTCACCATGTGGGTCTTCCCTATTTATTTCATCAGGGACAATCTCATCCATTAAACCAGGATCTGGAGCAGATTCACCTGTCTGACCCTGATTTTCAGCATCTTCTGTTCTTGGTTCCACATCACCAACCACACTATTGGTTCTATGGACAGAGAAATCAGCACCATGGATTTCAGCTTCATGGCTAGCACACATTCCGACACTCCCCCCACTAATTCCAAAACTAAATCCATCCCTAGCCTGAGCTGTCACAGTT